AAAGAGGAAAACTAAAGGAGAAGCAAAAATCTAAAGGTTGTCCAGGACGCAGAAAAAGGAAGAGCAAAACAACCAAAATCAAACAGGGGGAGGAAACAAAAGAGGGAGAATCGAACAGTTAAAAAAAACCCACGGCAAACCAAACGGTAAGACAATTAGAGTGATATCTACCAGATAATGCAGTTTGTTTACCATAGCGTGTCCAATCCCTGCGTGCTTCACCGGAGATATGGGGGAGGGGCGGGGGTCAAAGAAAACAAAACAACGGAGACGACAACAAAAGAACAGAACGAAAGAAAAGAAAAATAAAATGACCAACTGTGAAACTCAAGGAAGGAGGAGAAATACATGCCCATATATAACTGGTGGTTTGTTCAGACCTCCCACCTTAGGATGGGAAGGAGAAATCAAACACACACAGAAATTAAATCCCTCCTTCTCCCAGTCCGCCCCCACCCTCCTCTGGATACCTCTCCCCCATCCCCTCCCGGAGGAAGAGCCTGCTGTGGAGAAGGGGAACAGTTAAAGACCTTGGTTAGTAGAGAAGAAAACAACAAAAGAACTGGACCGAGAAAGCAAAGACTTAAAAATGGCCGACATTCCGCAGATGAGACAAAGGTTAGTTCAATCTTTCACTCATACCTTGCCCCACCTGTCCCTGCCCATCCCTTGGTCCCCTGGGTTATAAGCGTGTTAGTAACACACACAGAGTCGGCAAGGGGGGTTTTCCAACAGAGGGTGAAAGAGGGCAGGCAGGGGGTTAAGAAGCAGACCCATTTATGCAGTATTAGTACATCCTTCCGGCTGAAATGTTAGGACGTTGAGGGAAAGGGAGGGAGGGGAGCAAGGGGTGTGAGAACGGGATGGACTATTGACTTAGGTCATGGACGGGTGGGTTGGTTGGCTAACTGGTCAACCAGATGGCTTTCCGGAGAACTGGCTAAAGAGCAAGTTGGTTCTGGCCAACTGGCTGACCAATGACCATGTTGAGTTAATGGGTTAACTGTTTGGAGGTGGGCCAGCTGACTGTCAGGCTGGGAGAAGGGTGGCCAACACCCCTAGAGAATCACAGGAGTGGCGAGAATGAGAGGTGGTTTCATTTGGGGACACAGGGAAGGGTTCCCAAGGGGTGTAGGAGGGGATATGGTTGTCTGCTTTTCCTGGGGATGGAGGTCAGGCAGGTAGATCCAGGGAACCACGGGGAGGGGCAGCTCCTCATTTTTTATTTATTTATTTATTTATTTATTTATTTATTTGGTCTGTTTCTCCTCCTTGAGAAAGGAAGAGAGAGTGAGCTGTCACTAGAATGAGAATGAGGAAAAGGAAGCCTTGCCCTCCATGGGCTGGCAGAGGGCTCACTCTCAAATTATATCTAATCATCCCAAACCCTCTCCCTCCCCTTCCCCTCTCCCACCCATAGCTGACTCCTCCTTCCAGCCTAACTTGACTTTGCAGAGCCCACATACCCCAAAAGTCCCCCACGTTCTTCAATCACCCACCCCCAGGTCTCTTATGCTCCTCTCGGCAGATGCCCCTCCCAGAATTAAGTACCCACCACCGCCGCCCCTGAGCCTCCACTGCCCACAGCCAGAACCGGAAATTCACACCCTCCACACCGCATACCTCTAACATCCCTACTCCTCCCTCAGCTAGAAACCAGCTTCTTCTATCCCCACATTCATTCTCTCTTCTCCTGGCCAAAGACGGCAGCAACCACCGCCTTGGAAATCACCCTGGTCTGTTGGGAGAGATGTCAAGGGGGCCGAGGCAGCTTCACGTACAGCATCAGGTCGGGGGACACCACTGCTTGATGTCCATTAAGCACCAAACTGCACGCCCGAGAGGGTGGTTGTGAGAAGGAAAAGTATCCCGGGTACAGATCCATTAGAAAGTTATGATAACCAGTGGGCACAGGCTAATTCAGTAACACAATTAATAAGGGCCTCGCGTAATTAAAAATAACAGAATTCAATATTTAGCAGCTAGAAGTGCTGAATAACCAATATTAATTATCAGTGAGCAGAGCAGTTTATGGAGCAGGAGGATGAGAATCTAACTGCGGGGCAGAGGCTGGAGCGCGGGGAGAGCGGGCGATGCCAGGGCCGGTGCTATCAGATGGCAGGACTGTCATGAAGCGAAGAAACCAACTAGTCAGAGTGAGGAGCCAGCTAAACAATTGCACCCAAACAAGGGAAGAGTTGCCTGGGGTCCCGGCACTAGTCCAGCGAGGCAGAGAAGAGGCATTGGAGGCTAGATGCAACTGCTACTCTTTTTGAATTGGAACTGGTTGTGGAAACTAAAATTAAAAGTTTCCAACTTTCATGGACAACTTCCCTTATAGCAAACAGAAGAGCAAATTCAGAAACAAGATTAAGACAGAAAAGATGTGCCCGGCTGGCATGGCTTGCTGGTTGAGTATTGACCTATGAACCAGGAGGTCACAGTTCGATTCCAGTCAGGGCACACGCCCAGGGTGCCGGCTCCATCCCCAGTGTGGAGTGTGCAGGAGGCAGCCAATCGATGATTCTCTCTCATCATGGATGTTTCTCTCTCTCCCTCCCCCTTCCTCTCTGACATCAATAAAAATATACTTTAAAAAAAGAAAGAGGGAAGAGATGTAAGTTCAGAGCCTGGGCCTTCCAGTAAGGTGCCCAGGGATCCAGGCTTCTCTGAAAGGTTGGAGCAGGTGACAGGGGCCCCTCTAGACCAGGGATTGGGATCCAGAACCCAGTTATGGAGATGGTGCCAGAGGGGGCAATTATGGGCAAACACTGGAGTGGAGCTCCCACTGGAACCCATTCCTGGAGGCCCGTGACATGGCAACCTGTGCCTTCCCAAATGGCGGCACCCAGAGAGCTGAACCTCAGACTAAGTGGGGCAGGGAAGGGTTTTCCCACGCACAGAACCAGCACAGGAGCCCAGAATGGGAAGGAGCCCGGAACGGCAGCTCAATGAGGGAGGAGGACGCCAAGTCACAGAGGGGAGAAGTCGGTCATTGCATCACATGCTAACTTCTCATGGCCAAGGGCCTTTGCACAAAACTACACTCCGTCTGCACCTTGAACTCTGAGTGTAGCCCCAGCCCTTCAAGAAAGCCACGAGGGGGATTACACACAAAAATCACAAAAGGCGGAAAGAAGGCAACCTCTGTGGAGCTCGAACAAGAAAAACTCAGGACAGAGCAAAGAGGCGCCCGCTCCACGCGGAGCTGACAGGGAGGGGCCTGCTCTCCGAGAGGCAGGCCAAACATTCTGATGGCTTCAAGATTTGAGAATCACCGAGAGTGGCAGAACCACAAGACAGACTACAGCCGCCCTCGCCTTCTATACCAATGACAGCACCAGGCAGAGACCTGAAGTGGCTGTGGAGTCGGACGACTTCCGTGCCACCACTTCCTAACTGGATCATTGGCCAAGGATGCCCTCCTTGGTAACAAGGGAGCACCTCCCACTCACAGGGTTGTTAGAAAACTCAGTGAGATTCGAAAGAGAAACCAGACCCTTGAACTCGAGGGCTGGCAGAGGAGGGCGGTGGTAAGAGGGGCAGGGTCGGCGGGAAGTCAGAGCAGAGTGGAGGTGGGAGCCTTCCTCCTGGCTCTGGGAAGCGAGTGGGAGTCTTTCCCAGAGGGCGAGGGGTAGTTCGAGGCTCGTATGAAATAGATCTGTGGGGTCCTCTGGTCCGAAACTCACCAACTGCCTTCAAGAAAGAGCCCAAGTGAACTAGGGGGAAAAAACCTAGAAAAACAACTGAAGAGACTCATAGTTGCTGACATTGAGCCCTCAAGGAGCTGACCACCTGGAAATAGAGAAAAGCAATGAACGCAAACAGTGCCCACACAGGCGGAATGTGATGGTGGCGCCAGGACATGGCCAAGAACAAAGACTGGTGGGGCGGGAGGACGAAGGAAGCTCGGCGAGAAGGTGGCAGGAAGGCCAGGCCCGAAGGGGTAGGGCCCCACAGCGACAATGGTGGCAGAGAGCCTGTGCTCGAGGGCCCAGGCCTGTGCTCTCGGGGTCACCTCGGTATGAGGAGCTGCACCGAGAGGTAAACTTGCCTCCAGGTCTGGAACTAGAGGTGGAGCTGAGGTTGGAACCCAGCCTGCCTGACTCAAGCCCCTGCCCTGGGATTTCTCGGGGCAGAAAGGAGGGTGAAGGAGGCTGTCGGTGGGAGCACGATGGGAACACAGCGGGAGCTGGGGAGCCTCGCAGACGGAGTGCCTAGAGCGGCACAGTTAGATCCTATGACAGCCTCTGAGCTGCCAGAGAAGATGGCCCGGGGCCGGAAGGTGGGGGAGGGAGCCCCAAATGCCCGGAGGACCCTATTTCGGGGGGACTGCCTCCTTGGGGCCGGGAAGCTCCTGGAAATCTCCACACTGAGAAGCAGCCTTGGGAGCTGGGCAGGGAGGTGCCACGTGATGCGTTGGGAGCCAGCTTGTCGTCCACATTGGGTGCTGGCTAATGATGAAGTGGGTTTGCACCGGTGGGCGGTGGGGGAGGAATACGGGCTATGGGAGGAGAGTGGAAGCAGCATTAAACTAGACCTTGGGGAATTCTCAAAGGTAATCATTCCTGCAAAGATCCCCAGGAGACACCTCCGGTCACAGTGGCCTCAGGCGGGGTTGGAAGGGAGAGGAAGGCAGGAGCAGGCGCTATCTCAGCCAGGCCGCCCCCATCCTAGCGTCGTGCCCTAGGGGCCTCCTGATGATCTCAGGGCGGATTAGCTATTTGAGGGGAAAGGGGGGAAGACCTGCCTCCTTCCCGTCTTTGGAGCTGGCCTCTCACCCAAAAGCCGGGGAAGGGAGGACCCTTGGTGTTGGTCCTGGGGCCCGCCCTCCCCGCTCTGGCCTCCTAACCACTTGGGGAAACGCTGGGGAAGCCGGTGTTCCCAGCCCTGCCTGGACCCCGGACGGGAGGCAGAGGTCACCTCTTACACAGCCTCCCGTCCTTGCTCCTGCCCACAAAACCTGGGAGACAGGACACTGATTTAAAACCACCCGCCCCCAACCCTACACCACCCCTCAGATCCTAAGGGGTTTCCAATCCGAGGACACGGCCTCCCGGGCGCGTTTCTCCACCCGGCCCTGCTGACACTGGGCCCCATCCTCCCCAGTCTTGGGGCTGCCCTGTGCACTGGGGGACAGCAGCATCCGGCCTCTGCCCCCTCGATGCCAGTAGCACCGTCTCCGAGCTGTGACAACCCCAAAGGTCTCAGACGTTGCCAAGTGTCTCCTCCAGCGAGAGCCACTGCTCTAGGGACAGCAGGACCCAGTGACGTCTCAGAAGCCCCGGGAGATTCGCATTCGAAGGGCCTGGTGAGGATGGACTCACCTCAGGCGAGGCCTTGGCTGAAGGGAAGGACCCGAGAGCCCAGCCCCGAGGCTGACCTTCCCGGTGGCCAGTCACCAGAAAGGGCTGTACCTCGCTCTATGGACGTGGTCTAGAGTCAAAAAGCACCCCCAGAAGCCCTTCTTAAAAAGGTCTCTGGATCACGGTCTTTAAGCAGAGACCCCTGGGGCCCGGAGGCCCGTGTTCCAGGCAGCGTGGCTGCCCCCGCCCTGCCCCGTCTGGTCGAACAGGCGGGGGAGTCGTTTCCACCAGCTACCAGCTTGGACCCACGACTCTGAGCCCAGGAAGAGGCTGCCGTGGCCGCCGTCTAACCCGGTGCTGCTGAGCCCAGGCTCCGCCCCTCCGTGCTCTCCCTCCCTCGCCACGGCTCTCCCTCCTCTCCGTATCTCTAGTTCCCAGAACGCTTGACGTTTCTACCACGCAGCTCGCATTAATCTGATAACTATCAAGACACTGGTCAGCCATATTTCCTAATGGTGAAACACTGGAAATGCAACCAGAGCTGCGGGGCTTCCAGAGCTGCGGGGCGGGGAGGCAGGGGCCGTGCCTTTTCCCTCCGCACCCAATGCAGACGCACAAGAGGTGGGTTTGGCCAAACGATGCACAGAGAGGGACTCTGAGCTCGCAGGGTCTTCCTGCCAGAGGCAGTCCCAGCGACAGCACTGGTCCTGGGGAACGAAAGCACCACAGGCAGCTCCCCCTCACACATGTGCTAGGTACGGTACATGTGTGCGGCGTGTAAAGGTATGACAAGTGTACCTGACACGCTCAGGCATGCTCACACAGTGGTGGCACACAGGACACACCTCTGACCCGGTCAGGGACTGCTGTGCCATGAAGAGGGCACTGCACCGAGGAGGAGTACCTGCCGGGCACGTCAGCCCACAGAGCACAGGCACACTAAGAATCGGGCCCGCCTGCAAGAGGCAGCGGAGGCCGGGAAGGAACCGAGGAGAGCGCACAGGGGGTAAGAAACTGCAGCAGGAGGACCCCCGGGAGGATCCCGTGAGGCCATCACTCCGAAGAGGACCAGGTAAGAAGGGTGAGAGGTCGGCCGGAATCCGACCCCATGGACGAGCCTTTAGAGGGAGGAAGGGGAGGAGAAGGAGCGGGAGGACGATGCTGAAGAGGAGAAACCACGAGGGTCGGCCACCACACAGCCAGAGCCAGGAAGTCCAGGCGCTGACCAGCAAGAGATGGGCTGTGGCCCCGCAGAGAGCGCCTGGCAGGGAGAGACGCGCTGTGCTGGCGTCACTCGGTGCGGGAGGCGGAGCTGGAAATGCTTCACCACCATCAGCTACAGCTACGAGAGAAAGGGGACCCAAGAGAGGCCGGCCAAAGCCTGACCTCTGAGTGAGCGGGGACGGAGAGGGAAGTGGAGGCAGGTGCACAGCGGCCTCTCCGGCTGGCACAGGCTGTGGTGTGGCCCCTCTATGAGGCGGGAACGTCTAGGGCTGGAAACAAGCCAGGGGGGCTGCTGTCAAGCAGAAGCCTGGCCAGAGAGGGCCCACCTGTCCCAGCCGCCCTGCGCCTCGCCAGGGGCAAAGCGGCCGCCGCCACGAGGACCAAGCTGATGCCCACCAAGGTCAGCACCGCTCCAGGGTGCGCCTGGGAGCAGGAGCTGAGCGGACGCTGCAGAGAGGAGCCTGTCCTGCCTGCAGGGGGCGATCCGAGAGTCTCCTCTGAGCTCCTGCCCAGGCGGCTGGGAGCCATGGGAGGCAGCCATGGACTTCGCCATAGGAGAGGGGCCATGGACCCTGGGAGAGCTGGGCTCCTTTGGAGGGACTGGATGGGAAAGAGGAGGGAGTGCGCTGCCCAGAGGAGATGCAGGACCAAGCCCCTGTCCTGTTCCCTCACACAGCTGCTGCACCTCCGCTGTGCTCCGCCCGTCCCTGCCTTCCTAGAGTGGCCCCCGGGGAGCAGGCCGCACTGTGCCCCACACACACCTCGGCTTTCGGCTGTCGGCTGTGCCTTTCCGCCCAGTGTCAGGACACCACCGCTGCTCCACAGGCCAGCGTCTCCCTACCTCGGGGCCTTTCTGCCAGGCCCCTGATTCTTAACCCCAGCCCTTCCCTGCCCCTCAGACTCCTACCCTTGGCGAGGCCTTGACTGAAGGGAATGACCCGAGAGCACGGCGTCTCTCCAGCGCCTCCCCAGCTCCACTCCCCGGTCCTGGAAGCTACTGCCCGCTGCTGCCACACCCCTGGGCGCTCCCAGTGCCGGACCTTGCCCTGCAGCCCCACACCTCGATGCCCTGCCCTGTTGCCTGGCACCCACGCTCCCATGCTGCCCCATGCGGGCCCTGGCCTTCCTCCTGCTCCCCCTACCTGGCGCAGGTTTCGGGTAACCCGGACGTCGTGCCAGGCGTTGTCGTTGAACTTGCCGTTGACGGGTTCCACGAGGGCCTCGAAGGCGCCCGAGCCCAGGTTGATGACCAGCCAGACGGCCCCCGACTTGAGGGACAGGTTGACGTAGTCGGCCGACTTGCCCGTGTGCAGCATCAGCCCGTTGCGCTGCAGGGTGCGGAAGGCCAGCGTGATCTCGTCCGTGCTGCTCTGGATCGGGTTGTGGGACAGGTCGTAGCAGAAGAACTCGTTGCCTTTGAAGGTCGCCACAAACTCCTCCTTGCCTGGACGCCGGGTGTGGGGAGAGGGGAGAGGCTGAGCAGGGCAGGGTGTGCCGGGCTGCCCTGCTCCCCTCCAGCAGCCCAGGCCCCGTGGCGTGGCGACTGAGCTCTAGGCCCTCCTCCCTCCGGGCCTGGCCACCCCCCTCTCCCCGCCGTCACCTCTGCTGTCAGTCAGCTCCCTGCCCCTTTCCTCAGCAGGAGGCTGCTAAGTGGTTCTCACACTGACAGCTGACAATTAAGCTGCCACGGGCCAGGCAAAGCAGACTCCTCACTGTCTCTTCCCCACAGCCTTCCGTCAGCCCCTCCCCCTCGCGGAGGGATGTGGAGACCCAGGAGGCTCCACCTGACCTCCCCCCACCCCGCTCCCGGGAGTGCCTGCCCTAAGCTGGGAGCACACCTCCTGAGAGCAGCCCCCCCACACACACCCCTGCCTCTCCTGGTGAAGGTGATCACTCTCAGCCCAGGGGCCTTTCAGGCCTCACCATTAGGGAGTTGCTAGGAGGCCTGCTATGCAGCGAGCAGATGAGAAGAATGGGGAAGCGGTGTGGTGGGGGCACCAGGGAGGACACACAGGAAGGCAATGCCAGTGATGGGGATGTGCACCAGGTAGCAGCGGGCCATGGGCAGGGCTTACCCGGTGGCTATCATGCCAGCTCTCACCCCACCCCAGCTTCCTACTCAACCTCAGAGGGCAGCACAGAGGGGCCCTTAGGCAGACAGTCTCTGGGGCCCCCGAGGATGGGTGTGAGACCCCACAGACCAGGCAGGTGGCTAGGGGTGAAAGTGTAAGGGCAGGCCTGGCTCTCATGGGTGTGCGTGTGCATTTGCGTGTGTGACTGGATGGATGCGTGTGTGTGTGTGTGAGTGTGCATGCGTGTGTGTGTGTGTGTGTGTGTGTGTATGTGTGTGTGTGCGTGAGATCTCTTTCCATGGCACTTTTTAAGCAGAAGCAAAAATGACTGGAGAGCCTTAGGAATGTTTAGCATTTGTGTGTGTGTGTGTGTGTGTGTGTGCGTGAGATCTCTTTCCACGGCACTTTTTAAGCAGAAGCAAAAATGACTGGAGAGCCTTAGGAATGTTTAGCATTCTCTAAGTGGGTGACAAGTGAGAGGTCAACGACTCGGTGGAGGGAAGTTGGGGTCCAAGCCCCACAGCTTCACAAGCCAGAGCCCACGCGGAGGGTAGAGAAGGGGACATGGAGGCAGGGAGAGCAGAGAACCTGGACCCTGACAGTGACTCGCTTCCCCTCCCGGCAAACAGCGGGCCCCGCCCACCGCACAGGAACAAGAATGCGGCACAAGGCCTTACGGAGTGCAGAGTGCAGGGGGTCCTCCGCCCCGGCCCAGGTCTGGCAGGAGCGAGGCACAGGGCTGGGGGGCACAGGGCTGGAGGGCACCTGCTGGGCCAGGCCACAGCGGCAGGCACCACGTGAGAGTCAGGGCTCTCTGGGTGCACTTTCTGCTGACGCCCCTCCCCTGCACACAACAGCCCCGCTTCTCTCCGCCCGCCGGGCAGGCTGCCCGCAGACTCTGTCCTCGCTGCCTCCGGATGCCAAAGCACCAGCTGCCGCCCCAGCGCCTGGCACCGCACCTCCTGCAGCTGGCGGGGCCCAGTTTCCTGAGGCCACAGGGCAGCGAGGCTGGTGAGGACACGGGCACATGGGGACAGTGGAAACCTGCTCTGCCTACCTGGGGGCTCCAGTGGGGAGCTCAGAGAGAATAAAGGAGAGGAGTCAAGCGGAGACGAGAAGGGGAAGGTGCGGAGGGAGGCCAGGAGCAGGGAGAAAGAGGGACCATCGGGACAGAAAGGAAATGGTGGCAGCTCGGAGTGCTGAGGGAGCCGGAGGTGAGAGTGAAGTGTCTGAATAAAGACAAGGCGCACACTGGGAGGGGACGGGGACGGGGATGGGAAGGGGGCCAGCGAGGAAAGGGGGAAAGCGACCTCCAGGGAATGGCAGCCAGGCTTTCTCTGGACTTGACTGCTTCCATGGCAACCAGGCCCGCTGCCTGGGCACCGGCGGGGTGGGCCTGGGGGGCTCAAGGACCAGAAAAGGGATGTGTTTGACCTTGGGTTTGCCACACGGACGAGTCCCTCCCAGGAGCCAGGCCTTCCCTCCCACTCCCTCACCTTCACTGCAGTCAAAGAGAATATCCATAAAGGGAGTGTCACGCAGAAAAAAAGGAAAGAATAAGGCAACCACATGCAAAAGTGATTGGACAGAACAAAGGAGGCCAGTGAAAAGGAGAGAGGCGGCCAGGCCAGGGCACGCCGAGAAACAGGCCAGGCCTCGCCGCCTCCCGCTCTCCTCGGGTCTCCTAGGAGAGGAGGCACGATCTGCATTCCCAGTGCAGCCCCAGCCCCCGGAAGGCCCGGAGCAGCCAGAGGGCACCTGAAAGGATTTGAGGAGAGGGACGGAAAAGAGCTGAGCAAGTGTGGACAGGAAACCTCAGGACGGTGGGAAGGACAGGGAGAGACCCTGAGTGGGGAGGAGGGCAGCCGGACCTCAAAGAGTTTTGTGGGGGACTCTCAGGGTAAGGATGCGGAGGCTGCCAGGTCTGGGAGGAGCAAAACCTGAAGCACCAGGGGGAGCTCGCCCCCATCTCACAGCCCAGACCATCCCTAAACTACAACTCCCAGCAGCGCCTGAACAACAAGCTGAGCTCCTAAATGCCCCTGGC